CTTCCCGCCCTCATGTCCTCTCCTAACAGGGACTTGCCAGACAATGAGGCGCATGATATCAACATGCACAGATAGAGACGCTTCTCCTTCCCCCTCCCTAGATATTCCTTTATCCATGTATTCTAGACTATTTTACTGAGTGCTGAGGCCATGCTGTAATTAAGACTCAGTTCTTCCGTACGCTTAAAAATGGTTAAAAAGGTAATTTTTTTTTATGCCTACACCATCTGGTATTCCTAGGTGGTCTCCCATCCAAGTACTAACCAGGCCTGATCCTGCTTAGCCTCCAAATTCAGATTTGGAGATCGAGCATGGTCAGGGTGGCATGGCCATAGAGAAAGGTAATGTTTATGTTGCCTATTTTATCACAATTTAAAATTTTTAAAAAATTTTTTAAAGACTCAGTTCTTGCCAGCACAGGTCTCAAAATCCAGAAATAGAGGACAACTACAAAGCACAATTTCAGTGTAGAGGCTCACCCAGGGTAAGACAAGGCAAGCCAGAGAACCCAGAGCCCACATGGGTCAAGAGAAACTACGCCTCACTCACCTGTTCACCTGGCCTTTCTCTCCACTCTGAGCAAAGCTGCTCTGGACGGAAGAATCTCCTGGAATACTGCCAGTCAGCCTGCATGCCAGATCCTCCTTATTGCCCAAATGTGATAATCTCACTCTCTAGTCCTACAACTTCACAGTACCGCTCTGCAGACTGATAACTTGTCTTAAGTTGCAAAGTTTATTAGTATTTATTCACTAAAAGTGCCGATGTATTTTTACTCTTCCAATTTTTATTGATGAAAAAAACAATATTATAGTAACATTTAAAAAATTCGACCTCAATCTCCCCACCTGATCATGCCCAACCACAGCCATCAAATCCTCAGACCAAACCTTGTCATTATCCGTGGCTTCCCTATATCTCCCACTTCCTACTTCCAATTTGCCAGGAAATCCTGTCAATTCTACCTTCACATTATGCCCAGAATCTTCCAATTTCCCACACCTCCTCCACTGCAACCACCCCAATCTGCATCACCATCATGCCCCCTCATACTACTGCCACAGTCTATTAATACTGGACTGCCTGCTTTCACCCTTGCCCTCCAATAATCCACTCTCCCCACGCAGTGGCTAGAGTTGTCTTTTAAAATGTTAGACCATGTCATGCCTCTGCAAAATCCTCCAATGGCTTCCCATCTCACTCACAGTAATGATCCATTACTTCTTGACCTCATATCCTGTTCCTGTCCCTCCTGACTCACTCTGCTCAGTTACAACAACCTCTTTGCTGTTGTATGGTACGTGCCAAGCCTGTCTCAGGACCTTTGCACTGGCTGTACACTCTGCTCAAAACACTCTTCCCCCATACATCCACATGGATAATTTCCCCAGCTCCCTCAAGTCTTTGTTCAAATATTATCTTCTACTTAAAACTGTAACACCCGCCAACACTTTTGACTCTGATTTATCTTTTACTTTTCTATAGCACATATTACAGAATATTCTAACAGTCTAACATATTATATACTTTAATTCTTTGTTATATTTATTGTTTACTTGCTGTCTCCATATCACTAAAACGATAACTCCATTAGGACAAATTTTTTTATTAAGTTTATTGGGATAACATTGGTTAATACAATTATATAATTTTCAGGTGTACATTATAATTTGACATCTATATATTCTATTGTGTGATTACCACCCAGAGTCCCATTTCCTTCAGCTACCATATATTTCATCCCCTTTACCCACTTCACCCTCCCCCAACCCCCTATATTTGACCCCCTTTACTCTGTCTACCTCTTCTCTCCTCCTCCACCCCTTACCTCTGGTAACCACTAGTCCATTAGGACAAATATTTTTAACTATTTCTCTCATGATTGTGTCTCAAGCCCCTGGAATAATGTCTGGCATATAGTTAAATAAATAGTTGTTGAATGAATGATGAGAACAAAGTACTCATTCACAAAGCAACACTCTCTAGTCCCAAACACCCTACTTCTCTGGGCTCCAAATCTGGGAGAAGGACATGAGAGTCTTTCCCATAAAAAGTTCAAAAGTCTTCTTAGACTACTGTTCCTTATGTGATCACACATGTCACTACAGTATATTGAAACTTTTGATCAGAGCAGCCTAGACACAGACACTGGACCGAATAAAACCAATGAATATGGTTGGTTGACATTTGGTTAGAACAAGTTCACATGCCAAGAGGTGGCAGAACCACATGTCCCTTCAGTCACCAACAACTATTTCCTGACATCCTCCCTGCAAAAAACATTATAAATGTTGCTGTATTTGTAGTAATCCTAGGTATTTAGTAATAAGAAAGGTGTTCTTTTTTATTTTTCAAAGGAACATGAATTGCCTTTGATGTTCCTATTAACAGGCACTCTGTGTAAGTGACACAGTGGAGACTGGGAAAGACACATACTGGGGTGGGAAGGTCACATGACACCTTAAGTATAATAGATACAAATCAGGGCAGCTCCTGGGCTGACATCCCAGTGGCCAAGTCTCTGTTACCTGCACCTCTCCTCTTCTAATAACTAATCCCTCCATCCTTTCCCCAGCCACCAGCTCCAGGCTTGGTCAACCAAAGTTCTCCCCTCCATCATTTCTAAGTGGTGCTGGCAGGAAAGAGCCTCTTTCCTCACAGACTGTTAAGCCAAAAGGGTTTAAAACAAAAGAGTCAATTAAAATAAGAATATAAATTCATTAATGAATCAGTGAGTAAATGAATGAACTGATTTTTAAAACCAAGTAAATATACCGAATTAGAAGAAAGAACATTAATTTTGGAGCCAGAAAAATCCCAATTCTGAATCTCAGCCCTATCACTTAATATCTTCCAGCTTCGAGAAAGAAATGTAGCTCCTCTTGAGTCCTACATCTCCTCCTAGAAAGTTATTGTTCGAAAAACACTTAACACCAACTGGCTATATGGGCCATTCCCCTTAACACAGTAGAATGACAACGGCGACCTAAAACCATTACAGCTCTCTTGACATTGGAAATATGGAAATTTAAATTCCATTGGTTGGCTTTCAACTAAATGATAAAGTTATGGCTTGTGGATTTTTAAAGCATATGACCAAAAAGATATTTTGATCAAAGTTACTGTATTTGAAATAAGCTTTCAGAAATATTTCCTTTTTTAAGGTAAATAAAGATTTTTGCAAACGAATCTGATAACCTCACAACAGCTTTGTTGATTTTATGTGCTGTTGAACACTGTTTCACTCTGTGTATAATATATAAGTAAATAAAACATGGCAAGACTTACTCTATACACCAACAGTAAAGAAATAAGTAGAAACTTTCTGTCAAGGAAGAATTTAACAAAATTTTTTTCAAATTTTGTTCCTTTTGAAGTTTTATGTATTTTATAAATTTCAGGACAACACATGCAAATGGGAAAAAATATGCCATTTGCTTTTATTTATTTTCACCAACATTTAAATTGAAGGCTCTTTAGAAATCCAATACAGAAAAAGAAAGATCAGAAGAAATAATACAAGTGTCCATCAGCTAAAATAGTTAAATAGTTTGGTTAAATAGTTTACAATACATCCAAAAAATGGAACTCTGGGCAGGAAGTATAGAGATTACGTGGATCTCATTTTATTAGCATGGCAATGTGTTTCTAACGCAGGGGGCAAAGTAGCATATGTATAACACACTCATTAATGTAAAGTTATTGATGTTTCTCTGCTTTGTAGCCTCCAGTACTTCCTCTCTTAACACTCAAAATCCTTTATTGTTATTCCTTAGTTAATATTTAATGTCCCTGTTAGCCTGTTAAATCCAGGAAAGCAGGAACCCCACCCACCTTTAGCCCCAGCACCTAGATCAGTGCCTGGCACATGATACATGGTCAAAGCGAGTTGCTGAGTGAGTGGGTAGTACCTTAATCTGAGGACATGGGCTTGTTCGGGATGACTCTTGCTTCCTTCCCAAACTGCTGACAAATCATCCATTTATCATCTGCTCTAGAATTTTGCTTAGGATTATCATCAAGCCTGTGGAATTTACCATTTTCTAGTTTATAGTGTTTGTGTTCTTATTCATTTTGGTTCTCAGTTTGCATAGTCTCCTTCATTAGATTGCCAGCTATTCAAAGCTAGGGCCTATGTTATGTCTCGTTCATTCTGTAATGCCCAGGAAAATATTCTTCTCAAAGTGGAGGTTTTTTGAATGATTGAATGATTTGGCAAGTATCACCTCCTACCTAAGAGAATAACCAATTGGAGTCACTATAATTTAATAACAATCACAACTCCCTTACACAGACCAGGCACTGTGGTTGGAGATATACGTCCATTACCTCTTTTATTCATCACAACAATCCTCTGAGGGAAATATTACAAGCCCCATTTTACAGATGAGGCACCTGTGGCTTCAGCAACTCTCATGGACTCACCCCTGGTCACGCAGCTAGTAAGAAAAAGAACCAAGATTGGAGCCAGTATTTTCTAACTCCAAGGTCTATGCTCTTAATTACTTGTGACCATCCACTCCCATTCTTCCAGCAGCTGACAGAGTCTCTCAGGCAAAAACTGGGCACGGATATATCATGTCCATCTTATTGGCAATTTGGTGCATAAGAAGGGGCCCTGGAAGGAAACTCACTAAATTAATCTCCCAAAGTTTTCTTGTTTGTTTAGACAGTGACCTTGATGGCTATGAGAAAAGATAATTTTCTGACTCTACTGTCCTTGGCTCCTGGACAGAAGCAGAGAAGAGAAGAAGCCATAAACTCTGATCAGAGGCCTATAAACAGCCTCTTCAAACCGCCACGATCAGGAAGGCTTTGGAAAATGTCCTCCCCGTCCTGCTTGGCTTTTTAAACTAAGTAAGCTCCACAGAGGGAAGCATTGTTGAGGATTTCCTGGACAGATTCTTTTGCAGAATGAGACCCCCACATACAAGTAAAGAGAAGGCAGTAACAGAGGAGAAGATTTGAGGGAATTAAAAGGATAGTGAGGGCGTGGTTGTCTACAGTTCTGCTCCAAGGACAGATGAATATTTGGCTGTCATTACAAGAAGATTCTGGTTAATAAATACTGTCTGGAATTTTCTTGCTGATTTTTTACCCTCACACCGCAGGCCCTGACCACTGAGGTCCACTATACAAATGCAAATTACCTGAATCAGGCTGCTGGTGACTCACCAACTCCCCTTTAAAGCAACACTGGGTTCGAGGCAGTGACTACTCAGGGTAGAAGCCATGGCTCACAGAATCTGTTTCTCCTACTGGCTATCGATCTTCTGGTTGGTGGTAACTGTGGCAGAAGGTAAGGGTTTGGTTTTTATTCTACCATGGGCCCACTAATTAATAAGTTGTGTGAAAAGATAAAATTTGTCTCCATAATTATACATATTTACAAATTGGAAATATTTATGTCAGCTTCCATTAGCCAGTAAGGTTAAAGAGAAAGAGGCCGAATTGTATTATCTGAAGACTTTGGTCTTAGTCTCAGCTCTAGCTCTGTGACTTTAGACACATGTAACCTCTCTGACATGAGTCTCCTCATATGGGAAGTGACAGTATGAATAATCATTATTATGAGAGTCATGAGGACCAAATGAGTTATCATACAAGAAAGCTTAAAACACTATAGAAATGCTATTTATTATTCTAAAGCTAACAATTTTAACCCGGAATTACAACAATGTCTACCTCTTTATATCCCCAGCAGCACAGTAATTTGCACACAGCGGGTGTTTAGTCTCTGTTAATTAATTACATCTGTTCAGCTGTGTCTTGGTGCTACTGGGGTGAGTATAGATTTTCTTTTTTAAGATTATATTAGATCCCATTTTTCTACTGTTCCTATTCTTTTTCCTTTTCCCCACTACAAAATTTCCAGAAGGCTTGGGCCTTAAAATCGGTTTATAACCCTCCAGGGAAATTTAAGAAAAGGATAGGGAAGGAGGAGCAAGGGGAAAGAGAGAGGAAGGAGGTCCTGGGGGACCTGGGTCTGATGTTCTTTTCGCAGTTCCCCTTAGCTCCAGAACTAGATGCGCTTCAGGGAGTCAAACTGGGTCCTTTCGCTCCTTTCACATTTTCCTGGGGGCTTTGCAGGGGGCTAGAGGCTAGTCACCCTCAAGGCTGGTGGAGAGACCACCAGAGCTCACCCTGTCCAATCTCTGCATGACCTCTGGTGATCAGACTAAAGGGAGATAGAGATTACAAATAACCTCTGCCCCAGTACCCAAGAGAAGGCTCCCAAGCATCACCTGCTAAAAACGACATCTAAAAGAGGCACTGTAAAACAGAACTAGCTACCTGACACCTTCTTTCCAGAAAGTGAACCATGCACGGTTCAGGAAACTTTGTAAATGTAGCTAAATTAAGTTATAATGAGATTAGAGGTTTATTCGCACCTAAAAGAATATCAATTAAAATGTGAGATTTTATTTCCAAACTTGGCTCACCCTTCCTCACTGTCCCTCAGACTGGAATCAAAGTCCTTCAGATGTAGATTCACTCTGCCCAGGCAGCCCTGGTACCAGCTCAGTGCTCACTTACACATACCCTGGCTCTGTCAGACAGGGTCATGTGTGGGTATTCTAGCTCATCCTGTTCTCTCTCCTCTCTCCAGCAGGCTGTGGCTGCTCCCTCCTCCCATTTATTTTAATTCTGCTTCAAATTATGACATTTAAATGTCACTATAGTATTCACAAAGCCTTTCTTAAGACACATAATTTTAAAATTGCAATTTCTCTTTTTCTGACACCTTTGAATTCTTACAGCAATTTGTACATCACCCATGGCACTTAACCGCATTCTGCTCTATCTTACGGATCCATGTACTTGCAGGGTATCCATCCACATTTCTCAAGTGCAGGCCCTGTATCTTTATCATCTCTGCATTTGTCACAGCACCTAACACAGTAACCCGCATGCTGTTGAAACAACCAGACTTATAGCATAGAGTCGAATGAGGCCTGTGTGACACTTCCTGGGTTCCCAATTTTTTACCTGTAAAATTAAAAATTTGATCAAGATAGCCAGTCATTCTGTGAGTCTACAAAATGAATTGAGTGGCACTTAACTGAGTAAATTAAAATAAAATTGAATTGAGTTGTAAGTAAATTAATCACAGGAGTTATATCTCTTTCTGCTTCAACTCTAAAAGCACATAAGAATTTTTCTAATAGTCCATGTACCATATAAAGGAAAAACTGCATATTTAGACATAAAGTATGAAGCTTACTTCTCTTAAAGTCAGTATAGTTCACTATAAACCAGGGACTGTCTGCCCAAAGAACCACAGCTACAGGTAATTATTTTAAAAAAAAAAAAAAAGGTCTTCTCATCCTCGCTTTTTTTTTTTAAAGTACTAGTTGTTGGTATGCCATGATTTTTATGTCTAGACTATAATAAACCCATTTAAAATTGATTTCCAAACTCTAAGCAATATTTTGACTTAACTTTTTAGTACACTCTAATTTTAAATGTAAGTTTCTATTGTGAATTTTCTACGACTGGAATTAAATACTCACTGAACTTCACAAAAATCTACAGAGAGGAAAATTCAACATCTGCCTGATGATTCATTCCATTGATCAACCATGCCCTCTAATCCTGGGACTATTCTAGGTGCTGGGGACATAGCAGTGACCAACAGAGTCAATAGGCCCTGTCTTCATGAAGGTCCTATTCTAATAACATCCATACCCTTTAGTCCTATCAATAGGGTACAGATTTTATGTATAAAATGTAACCAGAAGGGCCAAAATGGGGCTCATGCTAAGAGAATCTTTCCATAACATTCAAGATTCATAACAGTAGCTAACACCTACTAAATGCATATCATGTGTCAGGTTTATTTTGAGCACTTTATGTATCTTATTTCACATAATACAACAAGCCAAGGAGATAGGTAATATTGTTTTCTCCACTTTACAAATAAGGAAAAGGAGACTTAAAGAACTCAAGGACCCTGTCAATGGTCACATAGTTATTAATGGCAAAGTTCAGAGTGCCCGGATCTGGAGCCTGTGCTTTTAAACACTAGGCTGTTCTGCCCTTCAAAATGTTTTTGATCTGCATTTAAACATTTGAACTATTTTGTTCTGATTATGGTTGCCAAAGAGCTCTCATCTTTGTCAATCAGTGCCTTTGGTGGCATGTCAGATGTTATGTAATGAGAAATATTTGCTTATTAATGATCACGTTATCCCTGAGAGGTAGGAACATGGTAACTTTTGCAATTATAGAAACTGAGATTTCTCCCAATCCATTCAATTCCACTGTAGGCACTATGCTGGGGATGAGGGAATAGTGGTCTATAGGATGGCCAAATAAATATTATAACTCCTGAGTAGTAATCACATGGCTGATAAGTATTGTGAAAGTGGACTCACAGGATGCTATGGAAGCATACTGCATGTTGCCTTAACACAGCTTCAGGGTTAAAGCCTCTCTAAGGAAATGAGACGTGAAATCTGCATAGAAGTAAGTCAGGCAAAGAGAGCAGGAAATAGTGTTCTAGGCACTTGGATTCAACTTTTAAAAGCCCATAACCATTGATGACTTTTGCCAAAGTAGCTTCTGTGGAGTAGAAGAGGCAGGGTCAGATTCCAATGGATTAAATAGATGGAGGGAAAAACAGAGTCAAAAGTGCACAGACCTCCCTTTGCAGTGAGAGAAGTAGGAACCAAATAATTCATGGCAGATCACCAGTTTTCTCTCTGAAATATGAAACTAAGTAATCTACTTAGAAAGGTAGAGAGAATTTTGAAGAGAATTCTTCAAATGAATGAAGAATCAGGATTTTGAAGAGGCTTTGAGGAAAGTATCAAAGGTTTGGAAGACAGTGGGAATGGAGCAGAACAAGAATAAACAAAAGATTCGTGAGCAGTGTTAACTCAGCCAAAAGTGGAGACCTACCCATTAAGATGTGGGGCCTTAATCTTGTAAGAAGCCTGTGACAGTTTCCCAAATCAATCCCAATGGCTCCCGCATTTTAGAACACTTGCGCTAGCTAACCGGTTATCTAAAATAGTCATCATGTGTCTAGTCAGATGGAAGAATGTGACTTTATATGGTCCTGCTCACATTCTTATATTGGTTATCAGGACAAGCTTGAATCTTGATTCTGAGCCTTGGAAATTCCCAGAAGAGAATACTGAACACTATTAGACATCTCAGAGTCAGTTGGAGGATCTGGAGAGTAGCCTCAGGTTTTAATAAATGAGATGAGCACAAGGATTGGTTTGTTTGTAACAGCTGGAGTGCAGCTTACTGTGTAGCAGAGCTCAAGGCCTAGCTAAGCCTGATTTGATGGCAAAATGTCAAGATGGAGATTAAGAGTAAGGCTAGCTTATCCCCTAGCAACTGGATTCTCAGCAGAACGTTTTCATGTTACAAAGGTTCAGAACTAATATAAATGCGTAAGAGGAAAGAATGAGTAACGTGGGATTTAATCATCTTCTGTAGTTGGAAATGTCTTAAGCTAGTTTCACCATAGAATTTCAATATTCAGTAGCCTGGATGGGTATGGGAGAAAGGGTCACTATTTTGTTCAAGGAACAGACATCCATTCAAGCTAGCTTTGAAAACAAGTAGAGCTGGAGTGATTATTATAAGGTATCTCTAAGAACCTTAAGTACCACTGGCCCTCAGAGGGACCAGCCTGGAAAGTCAAGAACCACAGCTACTCTCACCATCACTCTGTTACATGGTCGTTGTGCTAACAGCTACCTTCCCTGTTTAAGAGACCTGCCCCATTTTATGGTTTCTATGGAAAGACTGGCTTCTCTGCTTAATCAACATTCAACTGGCCAAAACCTAACTCTCCAGCCCCTGCCCTACACTTCCCACTAACATTCCACACTAACTATGTGTCTCTGTTGAAACTCTCAAGTGAGAATCTGATTGGTCACTGGCCAGTTAATGAATGAGTTGAGTGTCTATCAGCAATCCAATCAGCCATAGCCAAAAGTGTGTAGGACTGACTTTTCCAAGGGTTGTGAGTGAAACAGAATCTCTAGAAGGGGCTATGAACACAGGCAGGCAATATGTATATACAATATAACCAAGAAACCTGAATTCAGCTGTTCTAATGATTAGGGGAATCTAGCTCTGTCTAAGTGCTTCAGTACTCTCAACTTCCTGTAGGGGTTTCATTTTTCCCATCCTCCACACTCAGCAGCCCCTTTCAGGCCTATGTTGGTAAGTCTCTAAGGAAATAAAGAAATAATACTCTAAAGAAAAGTTTACTTTTTCATAGCTAACTAGATTAGATGATACAGCTAGAGGGAAGAACTTGGCACTTGAGCTTGATCCAAATTTCTTCTCAGAAACTAATTTCATCCTGGTCCTTAGTCCGTGTTCCCCTGCTACATATAGAAGCCCTCTTCCTTCTTGTTTGGGAAATGATTTCACTGCTGGGGCAAGTGAAGCAGACCTTCTGGATTAATGGCCTTTGGGAGCAGTTCTTTTTATTTTCTTAACATTAAGTTCTTTTTTTCCACTAATTTAGTTACGATTTATACAAATGCACAAATCTTAAAGGTACACATTAGACACTTTACATATACATATGTGTATACATATTTATACAAATATATGTGTATAAATGTGTGTGTACATATATAAGTATAAATGTATATGTGTATGTGTGTTATGTAGGCATATATATATATATATATGTGTGTGTGTGTGTGTACATCCATATCTATGTTAACAACCACTCAGATCAAGATCTGGAGAGTTTCCTGTTACTTTTTCCATTAAATAACACCCACCCTAACTCTAAGCTATCTTTAACTTTTTTTAACCATAGATTAGTTTAGCTTGTTTTTGAACTTTATACAAATGGAATCTTTTGCTCAACATGACACCTCTGGGCTGCATCCATGTTGTTGTGTTAGTAATCCTTCCTTTTCCTTCCTAAGTAGTATTGTCATATGAATATACACAGTTTCTCGGTTCTCCTATTGATGGATATTTGCACTGTTTCCAAGTGTAGGCTAATATGAATAAGGCTGCTATAAACATTCTTGAACTAGCCTTTTGTCAACATATGCACTCATTTCTCTTGGGAAAATTCCCCAGAGTGCAATTGTGGGGTCATAAGGTGTGTCCGTTTCATTTCACTGAGTTCTTCCAAATATGCTTTGAGACTTCTCTATTTCTCTCTTCTAATCTTTCTTCTCTACTACCACCTAAAGCTTCTCCCTTCTGCTTTTGTTATTAGGCCTGCTTCCCGACTGCCATTTTTCTCCTCACAGGACAAGAAGAAGCAGTCACCCCTCCCAGAAGCTCGCAAGATAATGTAGACCCCACGGACTGCCAGATCTTTACACTCACCCCTCCACCTGTCACAAGAAGCCCTGTGACAAGGATCCAGCCCATCACAAGGAACCCAATGACAAGGATCCAATCTATCACAAGAACACCAAAGTGTCCTTTCCATTTTTTTCTACCACGAAGGCCCGGAGTCCACATTAGGTTTCCAAACAGAGCTTTCCTCCCTCCGAAGTGCAACCACCGTGTTCAGTTCTATCCATTTTTTTGGCCACAAAGTCGCCTTACTCCTCATTATAACTATTTTGCCAGAAGAAGATTCTGGACAGGAAGCTCATCTGAGGAAAGCAGAAAGAAGAGATAAGCCCCAAACATGATGAAGCAAAAGAAGCCAATGTCTCAGAAAAGACTATGAGATTTTTGTTTTCTTTTTCCAAATTAAAACTATTGGATTTAAAGATTAAGTATCTTAAACCCCACTGACTAGATATCATTCTCCTTGTCAACAGTGAAGATATTGGTTTATAGTTTATTCATGTTTACAAAATAAGAGCAGTAACATTATTCTTATTTCCAACTTTCTATGATCACAGGATATCTATGCATTTAAAATCCTAATTTGGATAATTCCAATAATTCCTATCCATTCTGAAATGACAGAAGAATCACTCTTTTAAATTAGGGTAAAAAACATTTTAAAAAATTGAGATTGTTTTAAACGAAATGAAGACATTAACGACACCCTTTTGTACTCACTGGAAACCTTACAGAGCAAGGTGTATTTACAAAGTGAACTTTAAAAAAGATTATAGAAAACTGAAAGCTTTATTTTAATCTCTGACAGGGATGTATATAGTGGTTATTTATTCATTGACTATTATGTATTAATTGAGATATAATTGACATAACATTATATTAGTTTCAGGTGTACAACTTAATGATTCAATATTTGTATGTACTGCAAAATGATCACCACAGTGAGTCCAGTTAACGGCCATCCCCAAACATAGTTGCAAAAATTTTTTTCTTGAGATAATGTTCAAGATCCACTCAGTTTTCCAACAACAAGAAATTATAAAGATGAAAACAAAACAAAGTTATGAGGAGTCTGACTATAGATAATACTTTAAGGCTATCATAAACTAAATTACCTATTCCCTCTCAAAAAAAATGTTTTATCTGTAAAAAATAAATGTACTTTAATGTTAACTTTTTAAACAACCAGTGCAAATTAGCTTGATAAGTATCTCACTGTTTCATCATATAGATACTAACTTAAATGATGCACTTCCCCTAAAACTTTTACCATGGGTCTAGGCTCAAAAGTCTGATTAAGTTTACATGGATGTTCTCATAACTCTAGAATTCCACAGACATAAGTTCATACAACTATAGGAACCTTGTATTCCGAGAGTGCAATATAAATAACATGTCCCCCAGATTGCACTGATGGTTGTTTCTGTAGCCATTCTGTAAAAGACTGCTCTGTTTGTGCCGCGCATCTTGCCTGTAACATAGGAATTTTGGTTTTGCATATTTGGTCAGTGTCTTACATCTGTTCCTCCCAAGAACTATGTACAAAAGAGAGAGAGAGAGACAGAGAGAGAGAGAGACAGAGAGAGAGAGAGAGAGAGAAAGAAAGAGGGAGAGAAGAAAGAAAGCTTGAGCCGCCTACCTGAACCTCTGCAGAGCCAGCTGCCTAAACCCCGAGAGCTTCCACCTAACCAGTTAATTTTTTTCTTCAGTTACTAAGACTCGGCTATTTGGATACATTATAGAATTTAAAAAAAAAAGAAAACAAAGGGAGGGAGGGAGGGAGGGAGGGAGGGAAGGAAGATGTGAAAATGCTGGGAATGTTGCCTGGGAAATGGAGAGAGATTGCTGTGCATGCTAACTGTATTAAAAGATAAAAAGAAAAAAAGAAAAAACTATTTCCTTTACTCACTTGATAGCAAATTTTTGTATAAGAACAGATATTTGCTTCAAACTGGCAAGTGTAAATAAAACCTATATTTGGAAGCCTCATTAAGAAACTATATTTTGTAATAAACTTGCCCTCTTTTTGACTCTCTTTTTGGTTAGTGGGGCAAAAGCAGAAAGGGCCAACTTTGGGCAAACTTGAAGACAGAAAAAGGTTTGTATGCGACTCTCTCCTCCCTTTCAGGGCCCGTCCTCTATCATGGTGCGCTCACCGTGGCTCACCACTCACTTGGGTACTCCGCTCACCGCTCACAAGGCCTCCAACTTCTCCAAACCAACCTGGCTTTGACTGGACTTTCTCTCTCCAAACATTAAAATTTTTGCAATCCAAAACTTAACTGACCTGAAATCTAGTCCCTAAAGGCCTTGCTCCATGATGTTAAACCTCAGAAAAACTAAGAGAAACTGAAGACAGATTAACAGTTTCAATGAGTTAGTCATTGCATCTATTATTGAAAGCGAGCTAGTCCTGTAGTGTTTCATAGTGAGGGCCTTTTTCAAAATAATTCTGGATAAAACTGCATCATTCCTTACCCTTGAACATGTATAGAATTACCTGTATAAAAAATGCAGCCCACACCTGCAAGTAAAAGCATATGCTTCTGTAACTTTTCTAAAAAAATTACATTCTTATGGTTAATAAAATTTTCTCTTAAAATAGTATAGTGATGCCTAGAAAGTTTATATACTTGGGTATAGTCTTCAGTCACTAATGCCTCAAAGTGAGTGAGTTTATCAACTGAGTTCCTCTTAGCATATAGGTGGAATTAGCTGTTTTTGAACCAATGGGAGTTTTTGGAAGAGTGTGATAACTTAAATTTATCTTTTGCTTTGCGGCAGAAATAGCCTATGCAAGTCTCAAATTCTAATTATCCTAATCAGATTCAGGCATAACCTAAATCTAATCATCAGACAAACCCAAACTGAGGAACATTTACAAGACAACTGAGTAATTTTGAGGGTTTCAGCCCTGTAATCCTCAAAAATGTAAATGTCGTGGTAGACAAAGTTTAAAGAAGATTAAAGAGACATGATAGCTAGACGTAACATATAATCCCTGAGGTGGGAAGGAAAAGAAGAGATTGCCACGAAGAATATTATTGGGATGACTGGTAAATTTTTAATGTGGACCATGTTTTAGGTGATAGTATTTTATCAGTGTAAAATTTTGTGAATTTCATAATTAGGTAAGAGACCATCCTTATAATAAAACTCTGAAGTATTTTAGGGTAAAGTAGTATGATTTCTGCAACCAAATCTCAAATTATGGAAAAAGTGTGTGTGAGAGAAAGAGAGAGAAGGAAGGATGGAAAGGAGGGAGAGTAATAAAGTAAACACAGCAACATGTTTTTACAACTGATGAATTTCAATGAAGGATACATGGGAGTACAATTCTTTGTACAATTCTTGCAACTCTTCTGTAGTTTGAAATTATTTCAAAATGAAAGTAAAAGACATTGCTGAAAGCGACACAGAGGAGTTAGTTAACACTATGGGGTAATCATTTTGCAATTTATAAATGTATCAAATCAATACATTGTAAACCTTTAACTTACACATGTTATATGCCACTTATATCTCAAAAATCTGGGGGGAAAGTTGTAGTTCATTGAAATATCACCTTACAACAGTAAGCAGACTGAATATTTTTTGGTATGTATCAGTAAGTATTTGTATTTTCCAACTAGTGCAAATTTAAACCAAAATTTTTAAACAGCCTTAAATATAACTGTATACTTCATACAGGTGGCTAGCCAAAAAAAAAAAAAAAACACACACACACACACACAAAACGAGATAAACATACATTCCAAACAGAAAATATCTCTCACAATTTCAACATTAGAAATTTATGATAAGCATGAATTGAACAGTAGCAGTTTAATGATTTGTTTATAAGGGACCGTAGCAAATAAACTATTACATCTGAAACATCTTGACACAGATGTACTGGTCCTTATAGGGGCTGCATGACCTGGCCTCCCTACTCCCCATTCCCAGCCTCTTCCTCTCTGACCCCGCCTCACACTCCTCTCTTCCTTTCTCTCTCTACTCCAAACACACTGCCCTCACTGTTCCTCAAACTAAGCACACTGGCTCCTCAGGGCTGGTGCCCCTGCTGTCCCTCTGTCTACAATGCCCTTGCACCAGATGTCCACAATATCCACATGGGTCCATCCCTTACTTCTTTCAGCACATTCATAAAATGCCACCTCTCAGGTCCCTGACCACCTTATCCAAATGTTCAGGCACAGACCCACTTCCTCTCTATTCCCACCTTTATTTTTGTCCCTAGCATGAATCACATTCAATCATTCCACATGTATTCTTAGTTACCTTTATTATTTGTATTTCATATAAGACACTAAGTTCCTTAAAGGCAGAGAATTGTGTTTACTGTGTTCACTCCTTTATCTCCAGGACTTAAAATCATGCCTGTATATAGTAGGGACCCAAAAAATATTGGTTAAATAAATGAACTTTTAAACCACCTGATATTTAACCCTATTTGCTTTAAAATCAGTTCCCACATATCAGGGGAAGTCTCAGGATTTTTAAATCTTCTCCAGAAAAAAAGAACTTTTATTGAGGTGAGAAAGGTAAGGTACACATATCCCTCTCAAGTAAAACAATTACTGGCCACTGGAGCATGTGTTCAACCTTCTTTCAGAAAGTCTAACATGATTTTTTCTCTGTTTTACTGCAGATAAAATTTCTCTTTTAGTACTTTGTTGGAAGATAGATCAGAATGATAACCAGAGATAGAGAATCCTTCAATTTAATTGGTTATTGAATTTTGTAATTTTTTCAGGCTTTATTATTAGAATCTATCATCCTTTTTTAAAAAACAAAACAAAACAAAAACTGAGTCTAATCCTTTTTGTAAAGTCCCTTCTCCAAGGCCAGGCCAAGACACATAGGTCTTTTGGGAAGGCTAACTATCTGAGATGCCTTTCTAAACTGTTATTCTTCAAATAGTGTTCAACAGGAAGAAGAAATGGAATTTCTGAGGACAAAATTTATATACATCTTGGCTTATATTCTAAACAAGGCATTTCTTACATGTTCTGCACACAATGGACATTTTAACATCTTTGGAAATACCTTTCACGATTTTCCTTCACCTGGAGAGTTAGATGCTCACCCTCATCCAAGATAACAGAAGATTTCATACAGAAATAAATTTGTATTCGAAATGTATTTTAAATTTCTTCTGTTTCCATATTGGCAAAGTATTTCTTCTTTTCTGTAATCTCTTTTTCAGTTCTCTTTGGTGATTTTTTTTCCTCAAATCAACGCGTTAAGAGTTATAGTAAACGCTTAATTTTAGGCACAAAAGTGATTATTTTCCCTAACTGACATGAACAACAGGCCCTGCACTTTTTCAAATTCAGAATTTCAGTGGACTGACTGCTAACTTGACACACGTACTAGCTGACTGACATCAAGGCCAGAAACGTGTGGGCTGCACCATGCAAACTCCCTACGCTGCATTTCTATATAATCAAGAAAGCCAGGGCCAGTGTGGACTAATTTTCAAATTTCCAGTCATCATGAGCATCAACTCACTTTTTAGGCTTATACAGAAATCACACTTGATAAACATATTTCCAGTTAATTCCAAAGATCCTCAGAGCCCTTTTAGGACTGGCACTTGGGAAGTGGCCTGATTGGCCTTTCTACTGCCCTGATTTTGCCCACATTTCATCGTTGTGAGGCAAATTTACTTTGATAATTCTCCGACTTCTTTATTATTCAGGACTCTCAGCAAAGTCCATAGCTCCTCCCCATTATCCTCATCCTCCCACCAGCCTAGTCCTCCTCCAACCTGGTTTGCTTTGCTGACCTGAGTCACCAGCTACCTGCTGACATTAGGGGAGCCCTGATACAAGACGGAGGCCATATGCATTTGGTCTCTTCTGTTCCCACTACGCTTCATACGCTACTTTGAGACTAGACTATCAGAGTATTTAACTAGCAATGTTCATTAGGGTGCACATCTCCACTGGTGGTACCATCTGATGGACCAGCTACAGTTTGAGGTACCAGCTCTTCTTTGCCACCTCTGTGATTCTAATAGATTAAGCACTCCTTTAACACTGGGCCCTTAAAAATGAAAAAGCAGGCCATGTATTGCATGGACAAAGGGAACAGGCGATACCTCTCAGGTAAAATTCATCACAGGATTTTAGCATTTTTCCCTTTGGGAAGGATATGGGTTACAGTGAATGTGACTTTACTGCCACCTACTGGATGACAGCTTGGTAGCACTGGGCTATCCTTGACAGAGCCAAAGGATATAAGGCCAACTGTAGCACCCCTAAATTCATATGCTTCATCCCTCTCTCCACGGAGGGGGAAGTGCTTATCTCTCATTCACTTATTTCCTTCCAAGACCAAACAGAAGAAAAGGGACCTGACCACCTTACTTAAGAAGAAAAGTGTAATTAAAACTATAGTCTTCTGGTTAGGCTGCATTTCCCGGTAAAAAAAAAATTATTTTTGATCTCAATATATCTTGAACTAAACTATATTATCAGAATCTGGTATTTGTCTTTGTTTCCATCCAGCATGTAGAAAACACATTTACAGAGGAAAATCTCCAATAGTCAAGCTAAAAACTGCTTTTCAAATGATATTTAATGTCTATTCACAGATCCAGCCTTATATAGTAGCACAACTAAGATAAAGAAGCCAATAAGGAGAGAATCACACAAGAAAACACATCTTCCATGCCACCATTTCAACAGAGAGTCAGCTATTCTAACCAAAAAAGAGATTCTCAATCAGGAGAACCAGGTTTTAGGCCTGAGTCTGTCACAGCGTTTACCAGGTAGTCTTTACAAGACATGTTACTTTATGACCAGGCTGCTTGTATCACTGACTGTACAAGAAAATTAACTTGCCATCTCTATAGCTAAAGTTTCCAAAAAAGAATTAACAGATTATTTCAAACATTTGTTAAATACCATACTGTGTTATATATATTGTTTATAGTCTCATAATCAAACAAATGCAAATAAAAACCATCTATGGAGCTCAATATCATATAATATTTATTAATTTTAAAACATACATACACACAGCAAGCCCACTTCCCCCTACCAGTATTACATACACATATTTATTGTTAGTATGTGGCTTAATCATAACCTTGTAAGGAGAGACTTAGCTACCTTAAATTGAAAAAAAAAAGATTATTTTAGTTCAGTACCTATAGCCTCAATTTGCAAAATCTTTTTTCAAGTAGTTCTGCTGAGGTTCTAACCAGATGTGACCCTCAAGTCTCAACTTGGACTTATAATGAACAATTTTTAGTATCTTAATCTAAAATTCACAAAATGTTTTAAAAGATACCAAAAGCAAATATAGAAATGAGAAGGTAACCCATCCTAGACCCTCAGACATTAAGGTGATATTTTCACACTGATCTTTAAATAAAAATAACATTGAAGTACCTGGGCAGCCATTTGATTTCTAAGTATTGTCTGTTTTCTATGTTGTAGTGTCCATTGGCAACATTTTTCAAAGTAAAAATAAAATAATATTTTAATGTGAAGCCTATTAATGTCTATACACTAATTTTGTTCAGCACATTAGCCATATCAATCTAGTCCAACATCTGCTCAGAGGTTAAAGACAGAGCTTCAAAATCAAGATCAAATTTGAATTGAACCACCTTCTACATTGCAGCCCCTTATTTTGCTTCCTCCTGAATGTCCTACTCTTTTGAGGCCCAAGTATCTATGGTCAGAATTCCAATATTAAGCTCCACAGAGTAAGTAATAGAGAAAAGTGCAAGTTAAAGGCTCGGTCTAAGTTCTAGTCAATGCCTTTTTGGAAAAAAAAAAATTATTAATTGGTTAATGCAAAAAAAAAAAAAAATTCTAATCTCCTTAACAACCATTCTCTAAAATGATAACTGCAGAGCATGACTGGAAACCCAGAAACCAAACCACTAGAGCCAAATTGGTTTAACTCTCCCACCTAAAAGTTGTGGACTAGTACATTATAAAAGATGCATGCAGTAAAGGTAAATAATTTTGCAACTTGGTTAAAAGCTGTTGGGAAGGCTTAAGTATTTGAGGAAACAAGAAGACAGGAACATCTCTGGGTTCTGTCTAATATCTCTGGAATATTAGATAGATAATCTGTCTAACATCACCTTCAAACTATCAGTGGATAGGAGTGAAGTCTGTAACAGTGGACATTCCCTCCCAAAGTCTCCTCACCAGAGGAGTTCGATAGCAATTGGCCCAGAGAAGAGTAATCAGTCTTAGTCAGTTGGTAACACTGCTTCCCATCTCTTAATTTTGTATGTATACCTCTCTTGTCATTGAGAAGTGCAGTATCCAACTCCGGGGTATACCTAAGAAATTATCTTTTACCACCCTTGTTCCAATTGCATTCCTGTACACAGGAACATTAGCACCAGAATCTTATGATGCAGAGGACTGGCTATCGAGTGCCAGCTGTACTAAGTCATTAGAAATAAAAAGTTTCTTTCTGAAATTTGCATTAGTGTGGTTCTCAGAAGATCGGCACAGAGGCAGATTTTCATACACTGATCAAACACCTACAATAATCACAGAAACCAAAGAAATACGTCTATCCAGAGATAGCAGTTACATATCTCCTTAAAGCCTATAAACAAGCAAGAATTTTAAATGTGTTTTTATAGTTAGGTTAGGGGAAAGGAAACATTTTTCTCTTACTGATCCTAGTTTTTTCATTTTCTTCAACTGATCCTAGTTTTTAGCATCCACCTCCACCAAACACACTCCTAAATAAATGTACACATTTATACAGACAACACACAATGTTCAATACATTACATGACCTTTTATAATGTTTCTCTCTTCCTCTTTTTACTCACTTTTAATCTTAGGTAACTTTAAATGCACAATCTATTAGTAGTAAATATACACACATGTAACAAGAACCAAATCATTATTCTTTCATTGAGTATATCTTGAAATAGCATCAGTGGACTTGAAAGGTGATGGGATAACAGTTGGGAGGGGCATTTGTTCAATCTTCCTTTGAAATACTTGAAAGTCTTTGTCTTTCCTTCTGCTAGACCTTTCTCAGAAAATGCAGGCAGTTCAGAAGTAAATGATCAAAACAACGAATATCTCTTCTTAGGACATCAGCAGTTTTGTTGCAAGACGATGTCATCTCAAGCTAGAACAGCATCTGAAAGTACAGGGGGATATGTGCCACCAACTATTTTGCATAAAATCTTTCTAGAACTTGATTGCTATCTCACTTACTTTCTCACATTGCATATACAGATACATAATATATTTCCCATGAAAGGTTACACAGCTTTAAGTATGAGACATCAGACCTACCCAATTCAGAACCAAAATGACATTCAGTGCTGGTGTTCCATTCGAGGTAAGTCAGCCTCCGAATCATCTGACAAGGGAGATCCTGGTATCTATAAATAAATAAATGAGCATTATAAGTTCTTGATAATTATAAAAGTCCCACTTTCCAAAAATCTCAATTCTTGTTCAAATATCAGAAGTTTAAAATTAACTATTCATAGCTCAAGTTGCTTATACAGAAGAAGATGAAATAAAGGAATATTATTCTTTGACCTCTTTGTTTATACATATGTGAAAAGACACTTATGGTGTTCCAGGAGAGTCGAAACCACTACAACCGCTCTCTCCTACTCATTACCGAACAAACAAACAAACAAACAAAAACCTTTAGGGAAAAATACAAAAAAAAGAACTGAGGATTAAGAAATGGAGTCAAAGCTTGGAGACACAACCCTTCATATGGAGGTTATTTTTTCAATCCTGTAGGTTTGCCCAAAAGTCTACCCTAGTCTCAAAGTGGTGAGGAAGTACAGGAGGCTAAGAGTCTGAAAGAAAACCCATCTTTATAGCCAGAGAAACCAGGAAAAGGGGTCCCTGTAGGCCAAAAAGTATGGAGGGAATTCTGGAAGGAAGAGAACTAGAGAAGGGGATCCTCTAATTCTCTGTATAAACCCATAGAAGTCTCCGTCCACCTCCTGAGGTATGCATTCATGGATAGCTCCAAACCAGTATAGCAAAGGCTTAGCCAACTGCACTGAGATTTGAATCACTTGCACAAATCTCCAAGTAACTCCTGAACTACATAAGTGCAGGACAGATGCAAACTAGGTAACAAAGACTTAGAGAACTGAGATTTACATCACCTCTCACAAAAGCTAAGGCAGAATTTACAGTGTGAACCAAACTTGGGTGACTTCCTGCTAAAACAAAAATTTCAACATTCTCCAGAGTACTACAACAAGACCCAGAAGCTATACAATATAACATCACAATGTCTTAGATATAATCCAAAATTACCAGACATAAAAACATCCAGGAAAGTGTGATCAATTTTCAAAGGAAAAGGCAATCAACAGATATCAGTCCTGAGATGGCCCAGATGTTGGGACTTTATATACATGGTTACACACTTACACACACACACACACACACAGTTTAAAGTAGCCATTATAACCATGTGACATGAGGTAAAGGAAAACATATTTGAAATGAAGGGACAGGAATTCTTAGTAGAGAAGTAGAAATTCTAAAAAAGAACCGAGTAGATATTTTTAAAAATACCATATCTGCAATTTTAAAACCTCACTGGATGGGCTTAATAGCAGAATGGAATTGACAAAGTAAAGAGTCAAAAAAGTTTAAGACAGATCAATAGAAAAGTCCCAGTCTTGGGGTGGTTCCATAGTGTAGTGGAAGTCCTGGGTTTGCCCCCCGGGTGGAGCCACAGACCATACCCCAGGTGTGCCAGATCCCCCAAGTGTGCCGGGAGCACCAGGTCCTGGGTGCACACTGTGAGCATGTAGGAGGAGATGCCCCACCTTCAGAGATCCAGTTCTTAAGGGGAGATGGCAATAACCGTAGGTCAGGGGTGGAAGTGGGGTGCAGGGGTAGAATTAAGAAGGGAGAATAAAAAAGAAAATACCCAATCTTAAGGATAGAGAGAAAAAAGATTGAAGAGCATGGACAAAGTCTCAAGAACTTGTGAGAAAATGCCAAAAGGTCTAACACATATGTCACTAGAATCTCAGAAGGAGAAAAGGTTGTGGCAGAAAAAAAGTTTGAAGGAATAATGACCAAAAAAACTTCCCCAATTTGGTAAAAGAGATAAATTTACAGATTCAAGAAGCTCAAGAAACACCCTCCCCTCAAAAGAAACTATGCCTAGAGACATATCATATTCAAACTACTGAACATAAAAGATAAAGATTAAATCTTGAAAACAGCTAGAGAAAAATGAAACATTACATTACATACAGGGGAATAATAATTCAAATACCTGAGAATTTCCCCCCAGAAATCATAGAGATCACAAGACAGAGAAATAACATCTTTATAGTCCTGGGAAGAAAACTTTTTAAGAACAACCTACCAACTCAAATTTTATACCCAGTGACAATATATTTCAGGAATGAAGGCAAAATCAAGTCATTCTCAAATGAAGGAAAATTGAAAGAGTTTGTCACCGTCAGACCTGCTCTACAAGAAATGCTAAAGGAAGTTTTTCAGGCTGAAGGAAAATAATGCCAGAAAATAAAACTGTAATCTTTAAGATAGAAGAATAGAAATTGCCATAATATAGTGGCGTTTTCAATGTATGTAAATAAAATACATATGATAACTCTACAAGTTCAGGTTAGGGGAAAGGGAAGTATGTTTGCAAGGTTTCTGTATTTTATAAGTGGCATAATATTTATCTAAGTAGACTGTGAAAGATTAGTTATATACACTGTAACCCTGAGAGTACTCACTTAAAGAATAATACAAAGAGATTTCTTTCAAAAGCCAACACTAAAAATATTTAAATACAAAAGAAGACTGGGAAGGGAAAACGGAGGAACAAATAATAAAAAGGCAGAGCTAGATCTAAACATATCAATAATCTTATTAAATATTCATGGCCTAAATATTTAGCAGAAGGCAGAATTCTAAAGATATTCCCCTAAGATTCTTAACCCTTGTTAGTCAACCAAACTAATTTAGCTACTGCTGTGAAGGAACTTTGCACATGGAATTAATGCTACTAATCAGCTAACCCTAAAATAGAGAGATTATCCTGGTGGGCCCAATGTCATCACATGCACCCTTAAAAGCAGAAGAATGAGTCAGAGAGACGAGGCAGAAGGGGAGGCAAGAGAAAGTCAAAGGGCAAAAAGGATGTAGCCGCCGTTGCTGGCTTTGAAGATGCTGGAGCTAAGCTATAAGCCAAGGAGCACAGGTGGCCTCTAGAAGCTGAAAACAGTCCCTGCATGTCAGCCAGAAAGTAATCTGTGTCTCACGACCATACAGAACTATATTCTACCAACAACCTGAATGAGCCCGGAAACAGATTTTCCCCTAGAGCCTCCAGAAAGAAATGCAGCCCTGCTGAAATCTTGATTTTGGCCTGTGAGACTCTTAAGGAAAGAATCAGCTGTGTCCAGGCTCCTGACCCATGGAAACTGAAATCATGAATGAGTATTGTTTTTAAGTTGGTAGTAATTTGTCAGCAGCAATAGAAAACGAATACACATTCCAATTTGAATAATTGGAATAGACAGAATGAATGCAAAGAAAAGACAGTACTCACATTCACTTGGCAAAAGGAACACTTTAAATATAAAAACCAGATAGGTTGAAAGTAATGAAAAATAAAAAGGTATACCATGAAAACAAATAAGTATAAGTAGGCTGGAGTGGATATTTTAATCTTAGATGAAACAGACTTCAAGGCACAGAGCATGACAAAAGATAAAGACAGATTTCATAATGATAAAAAGGACATGTATCAGAAGACAAAACAATTATAAAGATGTACGTACCTAATAATAGAGATTTAAAATAAATGAAGCAAAAATAAACAGATATAAGAGATAAACAGACAATTCCACAATCATAGTAAAAGATTTTGACAGCACTCTTTCAGTAACTTGATGGAACTAAATAAACAAAAAGTCATTAAGGACATAGATCTGAACAACACTGACAACCGCCTTAATCTAATTTCACATTTACAGAACACTACATCCAACAACTAAAGAATATACATTATTTTTAAGGGAACAAAGTTCATTCACCAATATAGATCATATATACTGGGCCATAAAAAACATCTCAATGAATCTAAAAAAAAAAAAAATCATACAGAGTATATTCTCTGACCACATGGAACTAAATTAGAAATCAATAATGATAAAGTATCTAGAGAAATCCCAACTATCTAACTATTAAACACATTTCCGAATAATACATGGGTTAAAGAAGAAATTAAAAGGGAAATAAAATGTTTGGACTGAATGATAATGAAACTACAACATATCAAAATTTGTAGACAAAAGCTAAAACAGTGTTTACAGGGAAAAATGTCTAGCTATGTGCATAAGGTCATAACGTGTGTAAGTGTGTAGAGGGCGGGGGAGTGAGACATATATTATGTAACACTTAACTTACAAAAATCTTTCTTACAGGTTGTTCCAGAAGGTACATAGTAGACTTTTATAAATGTGAAAAATTTTGTGTTATGTACAGAAACAAAATGTAGTTCAACGTATCGATGAACAGCATAAAGTGAGTGCAAGGCAAGTCTTAGCTCCTGCCAGATCAATCCAGTCTCCTGTTGCTTCTCTTTCCATTCAGATTGTCCACACACAAGCTCATGTTATATTGGTGTTAATTTATATTTTTGCTACACCTGCTTTCTCCTTTATTGTATTTTAATACAACTGAAAACTGAACAAGTAAATTGAAAGCAAATAACAAAACCAATTATATTATAAAAAGATTAATTCAGAACAACAAATAAAAATATTGAAGAAGTGTGAAGGCAGCCAAAGCCTTTCTTCCATTGCATGGAACTAGATTTAATTATGTCAACCCTGAAAAGTGGTTTTGAACAACAGTGCACTCTCAAAGAGCAAATGAAAAATTCTGCACCTTTAAAATCCACATTAAGCTAGAAGTATACAAGTAATTTATTGAGACCTGTAGTTCCTAAATGTAAAGTTTGTGACAATGATTAATCTTCACACAACAGGAATTTGTTTAGTTTTGATTATGTTGCTACAGAAATTATTGGCAAGAGATAAAGTAACAGCAGTCAACAAACCTTTTTCTCAGTGTCATTGGGGACTGCCTCTGTAATTTGTTATCCTCCACAATATTACTCTCCTTGTTTGTAGAGCTCTACAAAATTATTTAAGAAGTAACAGTAGAAAAAAGCATCCACATAGCTAAAAAGGCAACATGCAGTTGCTCTCTATGAAATGGAAATGAATGCTTAATGAGGATGGAGAATTCAATTCCAAAATAAAGTTTCTAAGCATCAAGCAAAGGTGTGATAACTGAAGTAAAGGGGAAGTACAATAATATGTAGCTAAAGTTTGCAGCAAGTTACAGTTCGCCCAGGAGATTAAAAAGTTTGCCAATTTTCTTGGTGTAAATATGAGTGATATAACTGTTGTTGATATAAAAATAGCAGAAATGTAAATATTCTTAACAGTTATGAGAAATTACAGAAAAAGATGACTAGGGAATAACAAATCTCTAACATGGATGGAGTGGATTGTCTTGGGAGAAAGTGTCAAATAGGCAACATATTTTAAAAGAATAAAAACAATTTCAGTGTCTCCCTCTTTGAAAAATGGGTTATAACTTTGGGGTTAATGCAGTGAAATACTACAAGCTACCCCAAACCTATAGTTATGTAAAAGCTACTAGACCACACACACACACACACACACACACACACACACACACACTTTTAATTATTAAAAAGCTGGGAAATGTTGATATAAGTATATATGTAATAAAAGTACTAAGTGCAAAAAACCATAAACAAAATTTAGCAAGCAAAATTTTACAGATCCTACATGTCCATCCTTAAGAACAAATTCTCCCTAAGATACATTACTAGGAAGTATGAAGGAGACCTGAGTTCCACCCAACCTACAAAGTATTTCTGTACCTGATGTAACGCAACACTGGAGGCATGCAAGTCAATAGTGGCCAGAGAAGGAATTCGAGATTCTGAAAGATTTTTGTTCTCTTTCCTTATTAGCCTAGAATTTCGAGCTGCATAAAAATAACCATAGACACAGTGAACAAATTAGACATTTTTGTTAGTTGTTCACATTCTATATCTGTCCCTCTATATGTACTTATTATACATAATTTTACATATATATTTACATACTTAAAGGCGTAAAGTTACTATAGATTTTTAATATTCTGTTCATTTAACATGCATTTTAAATAATGTAAACAAAAGGGCTGAAAAAGTAAAAGCATTATAAACATACCTATGCCTTCCAAGGCTCTTAGTTCAGGGAGATGATTATAGTTTAGTTCGGGCAAATGGACATCTATCTTTGAGTATTCTCTTCTTTTCTTATTTGCCTGATGTAGGCTCTTTTCACTAGTGACCTAATATCATCAAAATGGTTAACACAAATGAATTAGCTTTCAGGTAAGTTGGGCTTCCCCTTTTGTAACTACTATGTTCAGATCCTAAAATTCATGGAATTGAAGGGTAGACTACTACAAAATTTGAGAATATCAATAACATACAAAACAATTTCATCTATTTCAAATCTCTTCCTCAGTAAATTATTTTAAATTGCTAACAAGTGGATTATTTGGTTGCTATGAGTTTCTACGTCTCCCTCTCCCAACGGTGTAAGTCCTGGCAAGCAGCAGAAGGTTAAAAGATGGGCATCACTGTCCTGGTCCTTCTGGCCAGCAAGGTCAAGCTTTATGACACTTGCTGAGCTTTTCGGCATATAGCTATGCTGTATTATGAAGACCTATGAAGTGCTACTGTCCACCTTGATTTTGAATAGTTCATCTTGTCATGTATATCACATTTCCTTGCTTGTTTTTTTGCTTTCCTAATATAGTGATGTTACAAATTTTTAAAATATTTGTCCTGTCATGCTCCTCAGAGTTAATGCATGATACTATCTCTTAGGAACACAGTTTATCAAATAAAGAATTATAACTTTGACTATTTTCTAAATATTTCTTAGTATTATTACTTCATAGTTGATAAACTTGAAAAAAATAATAAAGTGAAGAATAGTATATCACTTGAATTCTGTACCTTTATTACTTTGACATTCTTCCAATCTGTTTCATTTGAGAATGACAGAAACTCTATATTCTGTCCACATTTTCAAAACACATGATGCATAGAAAGATTGTATGATTTGTTCAAAGAAAAGCTGCATATGTAAAATGAAATCATGTATATGTATGTGTATATACATTATATATATATATAAAATAAAATACACACAGAGACATATAATGACAGCATTAAGCCACTGAGGTTCCTTAATGCCTCAAGTTTAATATTCTGTGAATTATGCCACTCTGCCTTCCAGAAAGTCTTCAGAAGTCTTGAAGTGAGCTTTTGAATTTCTTTCTTTCTTTTTTTTTTTTTTTGTTTCTTTCTTTTGGATGTTTCCATTTATTCTTTTAATAGAATAAGTGCTAAGGCTCTAAGTTCAAATCAGCTACAAAATAAAATAATTAGTCCAAAAAAGCTATCTGCAAGTATAAAAAAAAATAAGATTATAAGTTCAAACGATTAGATTTATACATTCAAAGAATGATAAGTAAAATACATCAGAGATGTTAATAATATATTTATTCACATCTCAGAATTAGGGCATGAAGCATGGGAGAAAAGTATTCCTTTTCAACTTAAAAGTTGAAGAAAGTTTAGCTTTAGCTCTGCCTCCATTAATTTTCATTAAGAAAAGATTCCAGTGAGTTTTCTCCCCACTAATCTTTACCTCCTTTCTTGATTGCCTGTTCCAAAGAAGGATAAACAGAAATAAGATCTAAAATCACCAGCCAGCACTGTTTATGTAATGCCTGAAAGAAGGCTAATATCGATTCCAGCAAAACTGTATTGAGCCAGCTACTTTGAAAAGCCTTGCTGAGCAAAATAATCTTCCAAAGCAGACCAGGAATGTAAAACACAAAATATCCGCAAAGAAATCAAAAGGTAAGGTATATTGAAAAGGAGAGCACTATGGGTACAGAAATTGTAGACTAAGAAAAATTAAAAGAAAAAACAAATATGATGTCCAAATCATGAGAGACATGAAAAGAAGGCTATTTTTTCCAGCTTTGAGGGTAATGAAAAAGGTAGAGAAGGGAAATTTGTGAGAAAAATGCTCTTCTGGGAATATATTCATACCTCCCTTTCCCTGGTAGAAGAATTCATTCACATTTTTTAAGCAACTTCAATGTGCTAGACGCTGCTCTAAGATGTGGGGCAGAGCAGTGAGGAGAAGCACAAATCCTCACCTTGGAAGCTTACGTTGTAGTGGAGGAGACAGACAATATATAAATAAGAGGATACAGTGGATGTCAGTAATATGTAATGGAAAAAAATTAAGCAAGGAGAAGGGACAGAGAGTAATGGGAGACAAAATGAGTTATAACACTAGGGAAGACCTCGTAATAAGATTTCATGTAAGCTGAGGAGGAGAAAAAGCAAATTTCTTGGATTACCTGGGGAAAGAATTTCTAAAGCAGAGGAAATAACAAGTGCAAAAGCCCAATTATGGGAACATGTCTGGCCCTATTCCAGGAATAACAAGGAAATCAGTGTGGTTGGAATAGATTGATCAAGAATGAGAGTAGCTGGAGGTGGGATAGAGAGAAGGGGGAGTGAGTCATTTAGGGACTTAAAGACCCTGTGAGGACTTCACTCTTTACTCAGATATGAGAAGCCAATGGAGGGTTTTGATTAGAAGAGTGACAATGATTTAACTTAACTTTAAAAAGAAGCATTTTGACAGCTATGTTGAGCATAATAATGCTCCTCTGAACCTTCAGAAGACATGAACCTTGTACAGGCTTCAACCATTACAATCTGACACTATGTTTTAATGTGCTGATCTTCTATTAGACCATGAGCTAGAAGAGAAAGATTGATTTATTCATTTCCAGTATCTTATACCTAATAGATAATCAATAAATATTTCTTAAATGAAGAAACAGAGTACTTTCACCACAAATCTGGTGTTAGTGAGATAAGACAATCTTCTCCTCTAAAAGAACTGATCACCAAGCATAAGGTTAAAAAAATTTACTGTTACCTAAAGAAATAAAACAGATGTCATTTTAATAACATCTTATATTTAAACTTCTAGACTTATAATACTTTATAAAACTTATTTAAACTTTAAGACTTTCACTTTTATGGTTATGATAGGCTGGGAAGATATATGCGTAACTAAGGTTTCATTTATGATGTTGCCAAATAAAATTCTGTTCTTCACTATCATATGTAATGTGAATCAAAGTCTAGAAATGACTTATGCTTGGTCTTCTACCAGTGAGAACAGTTTACTTACTGATGTGGTTACATTAATATTATAAATGCCTGATGGAGAATGTTTATTTGGTTTAACAAATGGAATACAATACTTCTTGGTTTTCTCATCCACTCTGTAACAACAACAAGAAAAATTTAAGTTAGAACCAGCAGTAACTATTTCTCAAGCACAAAACTAAATGATAGCATCAAATGACATGCAGTTTAATCAGAATTTAATTCCTATCCTTAAATATACTACGCACATAGATCTGGTAAAACATTGTCCTTTACCACTATACTCATGCCTTCCACCCAGTCCCCAACTCCAACCAAATAAATTACCTTCCTTTCAGCAAAATTCCCAAAAGAAGCTTCTTTGTACCACTAAATGCCCACAGCCATACCATGCAACAACAGACCTTCAAAACCAATGATATCTTTTATTATGACAATCTCCTTTCATGTTATAGACTAAATAGCTGTAGATTCTCATCTTAAACAATACTACTCTGCTTTCTTAGAACTCAGGCTAAATTTTTTGACCAAATGCTAACAATTTCTAACACATAGGCCAAAAAGCCTTTTGAAACAGCAACCTGACAAGAATGAATAGCATCCAGAAGCCTGAGAGTAACACAATAGGGCTAAATTGACAATCACTTAAAATTTGCAAATATACCTTTAAACAATGTTTTGTTCTTATCTTCCAAATTCATACCTGTAGCTCTGAACTCCTGGGATAGTCCCCATTCCAGAACTAATATTGGAAGCTACTGCAGAAAGATTGTGTGTAAGTGGGGGAATTGCCATGCCTGGATTTCTTGTATGGTCCACGCTGCCATTGCTGCAATCTCTGAGGCTGGATGAAGGCACTGTTTTGATGTGGCTTGTCCCGTTGTCATGGAGACAACTGGCATTTGAAGTTCGACTGATTTTTTCAATTTTTTCTCCATCGATTTTTGATCCTTTTATTTTAAATACTTTAGAATCCTTAATTTGGGGATCAGCATTGGTATCCTGACCATTAATAAAAATGTTATTAACATTAATGATCTGAGGAGAATGAATCGCCTCTTCCTATAAAGTAATTGTCAACTACAACGGAATTCCAGAGATATCTTTTTGTACCCCTGTTCTTTTTCATTCTACTATGGAATTAAAATTAAACCTGAGATTCTTAGTCAGATATTTCCTTTGAATGGAAATGCAATTCACATTAGCTCTGATATATATCAAATTTGTATGATTTATACATATATCAAATTTATACATATTGCAGTGGGAGGAAACATGGAAAAGGAATCAAGCATGCCCACTTTTGTTCTTATATATTTAGAGCCAGGAAACGCAAAATTGAGAAGTGGCCTCTTTTGGTTCACTTAAGAAAATGGGAACAGATTCTGAATAAATTAAATACACAAATCTCAATTTTAAAATGCTTTACTTTATATAAAATTCTAAAACTTATAGTTTTCTCTAGTATCATTTAAGGGAAAAAATGGTGTACACATGTGTCTGTGTCCATATATTGGTATGTGGGTATGCATATGCATGTCTAAATGTTCTTGAATGTATGTGATTTCCTGACAAGCTCTACTGTATAGGAGGCACTCAATACATGATATGTTAAGATTTTTAAAATAAGTAATATCTATAAAGAAGATACATTTTTACAACGAAGCTAAAAGTGAACTTGTTCACCACTCAGAAATTTTTTTAATCTTCGTTTTTTTCCTCCAAAAACTTATGGATATATTAAATTTAAATTTTAATACACTTATTAGAATATGGACATTTACCTGTACCACAAGTGTTTTTCTCTCCTCACTTAAGGAGTCATCTTTTTCTTTTTCCTTCTTTCTGTTTTGAGATTTTTTAGATAAAGAAATATTTCTGGCATCTTTCTGTACTTTTAACTGTAGTTCCTGAGAAAACCTATATAAAAATACATTTGTCAATAAAATAAAACTGTATGAGAAAGATAAATGTAGAAAAAAAATTGGTTTTCAAGATTTTTAAAAATTGAGTGTTAAACTAGACTGTTATTTAAAATCAGAAAAATTATGACCTAGATTAGCAGTTCTCAAAAGGCATTCTGCAGACCCCCAGGAATCCCTGAGAACCTTTCAGGAGGTTCACAGGGTCAAAGCTATTCTTATCCTAATAAGATGACTTCTTTTTCATCGTGTTAGCATTTGCACTGATGATCTAAAAGCAATGATGGGTAAAACTGTAGGCATCTTACCAAGAACTGAAGCAGTGGCACCAAACTGTACTAGCAGCTATTTTATTCTTCATAGCCACACATTCTCAGGTAAAAAAAAAAAAATAGGGGGAGGAGTGGGGAATGGCAGTTTTGTTTAAGTATGTTCTCAATTAAAGCAGTAAAAAGTATTAATTTTATTAAATGTAAACCCTTGAACATGTCTTTTTTTTATATTCGATGTGACAAAATTGAAATATGCAAAAAGCACCTCTGCTGCAAACCGAAGGGAAATGCTTGTCTTAAGAAAAGCACCTGATTGATTGAGATACAATCTTAAACTAGCTACTTTTTTCATGGAACATTTTTACTTGAAAGAAAGACTGACAGAAAAACTACGGTTATTCAGACTTAGGGTATTGGGCAGACATTTTCTTTTTAAATAATGAACAAAGGTGCTTGTTACTTCAAGGAAAACGACTGATAATATTTGTGTGAATGCTTAAATTCAAATTTTTATGCCAAATCAGAATTCTGTTAAACTTGTATCCACTACTGAGAGCTTAGCAGATTCCCAAAACTTAAAGACTTTTTCAATGAGAGAGAATGTGACTTTTTGATATTATATAATGAAATATGTCAATATTTTAAAGATCTGCATAACTTAGCAAAACAATTTTTGCCAAATGACTAATGTATGATGTCACAAAAGTATAAACTGGTAAAAGATCTATTCAAAGTGTGAGACAGAGAAATGGATTTTAATGTAAAAGGGTAAAAAAAGTTCATTGATATGGTCTCAGATTCTACAATGCAAATAACCTTTAAGAAACTACCAATGCTGAGTTTTAGTATAGTTTCAAAGTTTTGGGGATAGAATCAAAGAATAATGCCCACAATTCCCTAAAAGGGCTATTAAAATACTCTTCCATTTTCCAACAACATATTTTTGTTAGGCCAGGGTTTCTTCATATATTTCAACCAAAACAACATAAAACCACTAATTGAATGCAGAGACAAATATGAGAATCCAGGTATCTTTTACTAAGCTAGATATTAAACAGATTTGCAAAAATATAAAGCAATGTCATTGCCTCTCATCTCTCTATCTTTTGTTTCATCAGCTGCCCTGATGCCAGCAGCTCAAACAGCACAAGAGAATATGCCAGCAGCTCTGGCACCCACTGGTTTGGCACATCAAAGTCTCCAACACATCAGCAGTGTCAGCAATGTCATAGGACTGCGTGTGTTGTGAGTTTGGCAACAACAGAAGATGGCACCTTTGCAAATTCATCAGTATCCAAGATGACGGTATCACACAGCTAGTAGAAACATAGAGATCAATGACCTGAGTGGTAGATGTCACCACAGGAAGACAGAAAGAAAGGCATGAAATGCCTGCTTCATGAAAACCAAGAGCCCTGATTTAGTGAATGCAGGGGACCACTCCTGTGAATTCTGTTATTGGTAAATATTTGAGATCATGTAAAAGTAGCTAGGTAGAGAAATAAGAGAAATACTGTTTGTTACTGTTATAGAGGCCTTATTTTAACTCTAGCTTGGTGTGAAATGGAAAACATGAGTCAGTACTATACCTCTCAGCAAATCCATCCATATGAAAGAAATCATGGTGCAAGAGCTCAGCACAGAAGGGTCTTTTGTCTGGATCAATATGTAAGCATTTCTGAAAAACCAAAGAATACATACAACTTATATATTTTTTTAATTGTCTATATTTAAATTTCTAAATATAGAAAATACCTCTTCATAGTCTATGAATTTAAAACATCTATAATAAATGATAAAAAAAATAAAGCATAAATCTAGACAATGACCACCAATGATTGCCAATATCACAAAAAGAAAGACCACCAGATATTCAGTATCTCTAGACGGAAATATACAAACTCTTATGAAGTAGTATGCCAAAAAAATCAACCTGATTCTGATCAAGCTCTAGCTCCACTATGAACTGTAAGAAATACAGGACACAGAAGAACATATTAAACTATACTATATGGGAAATTCTAAGGGATGAACAACCTACTTTCTTCAACAAACAAATGGCATGGTTTAAACAAAAAACAAAGAGATGAATAAGAGCTTATAAATTAATAATCTTAAAAGACATATCAACCAATTGCTTGACATGCAGACTTCATGTGAATCCTAATTCAAACTATGAAAAAGAAATTATGAGAAAATCAACGAAACTTTGAGCATTGGTGAGATGTTGTATGATATTAAGGAATTATTGTAAATTTTTAAAATTTAAAGCCCTTGCAGAATGGAAGAGAAAGAACCTGTGCTTATTATTGTGCTAGAATCTTTACACAGATGATGTTATTATAATGCAGGTCTTGTTCTGATTAATTGGAACCATTCAATGCCAGTAAAAAAAAGAGAGAGAGACTCAATAAGTAGCTTTAAATGAACAGAAAAAGTTCTACAGATAATTAAGGTCTTTATAAATGAAAAAATATAATATCTGTGATTCACTTCAAAATATTCCCCCCAAAAAGTTGAATAAGATGTAGATAGTTGAACGAAGATTGTCAAAAGGTTGTTCATTGTTGAAGCTAGATGACAAGTATGTGAGGGTTCGTTATACTGCTACTCTTTCTACCTTTTTTTCTATGTTAGAAATTTCTATAAGAAAATATTTTGAAAGTTATATGAGTCTACTATAAGGGACATAAGTTTGGCAATATTTTTATTATTATTCCCTTTAAATCTTTTATAGACAGATAATAAAGCTGGCCTCAATGAAAAATATTTGCATTTGTTAGATTATGTAGAAAAGTAGAAATGTACTATTCTAAGAACTTATTATAATTAGTTATAAGATTACTAAACTTTTTTATTGATTTAAATAACTAAAAAAGCAAAAAAATACCTTGGATAAATGTTATGTGCTCCTGGTATCTTAGAAATACCACTAATAAGAATTTTTTGAGCTAATATATAATTCCAATGTCTAATTTTAGAGATAATTTGATCCATTGAGAACCTCCCTAATATCTTCCTCAATCAAATACAAGGCAAAGGTGATGACTATTTGTAAATTATCTTCAGCAAATCCAGTGGCTAAGCAAAAGCCCCTCACACCATAGGTCATGATCCTATGCTCTATGCTTTATTTCCCTACTTGTCTAACCTTTTTATTTTCTTATCCTACTTCTCTTTTCCACTTAAACAAGTCTTGCATTTTAAACATTAAAAACATATGATGAGAATGTTTTCACACTTAAAACATGCTCAGTAACGCTAAATGGTTTCTTAAGTGAAAATTTCAGGGCTTTATCTCTGAAGTTCTCCCTCCCACACATACACGAAATCATTTAAACTCTTTCTTAATGTAGAAAAATTAAAATCATTAAAATGAAAATTAAAATTATTGACCTGAAAGATCAACTAAGAAAAAAAGAAGAGAAAGCCAAGTTTCTGTAATACAAATTCCCTGTCAGAAAGTGAAAGAAGTATGAATGATTACTTTTGTTAAATCTATCACAACTTCAGAGAGTTTGGGATAGCGTCTTTCAAGAGGTTCCATTTCCTTGATTTCGGGCAACCTTACTCCAGCAAATGCAGGATTTTTATAAAACAGTTCCTGATGCCTTGGAATTAGATTACCTGGACATAAGAAAAACACACATCTCTGTCATTATACATCATATTGATAGGTAATGTGGAGTAGAGCAAAGAGTGGGATACAGCTTACAGAGCTGGGGCTCTCTCAGCAGGCAAAATCCACCAAATATAGTACTCTTACTGTGGTGGCACCTGGCAGTCTTTATAGTGGTTTTGACAAAGGCAGCTCAAGAAATTAACGCTCTTATCTCAACATACTCATTTAGAAAAGTTCACACGCCAGTATACACAGAACTGAAGACACAAAGGAGTACAGGAAAAGGAGAGGTAAAGAACATTTTATGATTTTTTAAATATACGTACCGGCACTTCATTTCTAACAACAAAACATAAAAGTGCTGACCAAAACAATGAAAATACTAATAGCCATGTGGTCAGAATCTAAGCAGATAAATCAGTTCTACCATTTAAGAATTTAATTTTTGGTCAACCTATGTCTAAGGTCTGATTTGAGCACTTTTAACTTTATTCTCAACCTTAATATTTAATGGAGTATAAAACTTGTAAGAAAATTCTGCTGTAAGAAACTTATATTTTTTATTGAATTTCTAACCTGGAAACTTAAAATCCAATAGTTAAATAACCCCCTAGTATCTTACCATTGTTTCCATTTTCCAAGCTCCAGCTCCCAACATGAAGTTGGTATTTCAATAAATGTAAGAAGACTTTGATAGTCTAGCTTCGAAATTCTTCCATCCAAAGTACTAACAACAAAAGTCATGTCTGCAGCAAAGTTAAAACTACCTTGGAAGTCTCTGTCCCCCAGACTGAAGGTGAGCATGAGGGTATAGTCATATTACACCAAATGCTTGTTGACCTAAGGGTAATAAGTGATCATTTGCGTCCTCTCTACATGTTATTTATTAAATGCAAAAGTGCAGAGAAAAATGTGTAACCTTTGATCTTTTTTTTAGGGGGAAGTGTAGTGGTAGTGGGGTAAGGGCATAATTAAGACCACATGTCACATAGACCAAAGCCAGACTGAGAATGAATAAATATATATCTGAAGTTTTCCTATTTACTCCCTACTTTGTGAAATCAATACACATAAAAAACAAATGGGGAAAAAACTCTAAAATTTAAAATGCGGGTATATAATCTTACCTAAACACATCATTATATGATATAGCTGATCAATATCAGAATCTCCAGGAAAAAGGGGTTCCCCCATGAGCATTTCAGTTACCAGACAGCCGATGGCCCACACATCAACAGCCCTAAAAGAAATGTGGTGTAAAATCTGGCATGTAATCCGTTTAACATGACTAAATCTGTTCTGTATATTACTATTTAGTATTCTAGGTATTGAGAATAGTAGTAATGAGCCTTAAATTATCCATAAAAATATATTCCTTTATAAACTTAAAGTACTAAATCCCAATTTCATGTAAGTCAGATTTCCAGAAATTCAATCATGTGACATAGAGGGAAAAGGCTTCTAAAAAGTCAAAACATTTATTATATGTACTTTATTCTGAAAATAAACCTTTTGGGTTTCCATTCGGAGCCTATTCATCCTTTGTTTTATACATAATTCTAACCAGGTTGATCAGTCTATTTAACTAGACACTGAAAACTGCAGAAGGAAGGTGTCACTGGGACAACACATACATAACAACAGGGAGAACTGAAAATTAACAGGGAAAAAATAGAAAACTATCTTAATAATAAGTCACAGATCTTAAGGGATATGCTGGCATCATTAGCATAGGGACGACTACCTTGAAATTGCTAAAGATCATAGCTGAATTACAAAATGTTACAAAAGTTACAGTACAGCAGTAAAATGAGAACTCCGAGTAATCAAGAAAATATTAAATGACGTGTACTCTGAAAACAGAGAATGTGTAGAAAATATTTTAGAAAGATTTCTATAAAAGCAGTAAAAGTTACAATCTCTTCTTATTTTAAGAATTCATTTAGGAAGACCATTTGTGTTTTAAAAATATTTTATTCAATTATTTCTACTCCCCTTGCCCACTCCACTTCTCCTCATTCCAACAGTATCAGACTTATCAAATAAATGTTATCTCTCTTTATAAGTTAAAAATAGCATATCTACTTCCAACCCACTATAAAAAAACAGACAACTTGCTCAGCTTGATTTCTCTACCTTTAAAATAAGTATACTCACCTCAACTTATTTCACAAGAATGATCAAAGGAGAAGCACCAAAAATTATGAATCATTTTGCAAAGTTCCCTAAACTCAAAATTCCCTTCCAGTGTTAGGAGAATCTTTTATTATATCAGAAACATATTAAATCCACCCTCCCCCCCACCCCCACACACACTTTGTAATGACTTACTTGCCATACTTGACATCACCAACCAATAGTTCTGGAGCTCTGTACCACCGGGTTGCCACATAATCAGTATAAGCCTCCCCAGGAGCTGCCAGTGTCCGTGCAAATCCAAAATCACATAACTTCACAACGCCAGACTGGGATACTAATATATTTTCTGGCTTGATATCTCTGTGTATAATCTAAGACAAAAATAAAAATAAAAGACAAAACAAAGTATGACATACACTGGCACTTCAAGTCAAGCAAATTAATTACTTTTTGAGCACCTGCCATATGCAAGGCTCTGTTTTTGTACTTTTAATGAATACAGATAAAAGCATATAAAATTATCCCTGGTTTTAAAGAACCTAAAATCTAGCCAGGAAAGAAATAACATTTATGCTTGAAATTTTACTTAAATAATCAAAGATACTGGATGAAATATATATTAACTACCAAATCAATTATTCTGTTCGTAACTGCTCTCAGGACTAAGAGAGTAAAGCTATCATTGAAGATTGGGTAGTCAAGGAAAATTTTTATGAAAGAGGTAAGATTGCCTTCAATACTAAGTATGACCTGGATAAATATAGAGATGAAAGGGAAATCCAAGTGAAGGTAACAAGGAGAGCAAGAGTGAAGATGGGAATGGATCAGGAGACTCTGGGGAAATGTTATTTCTAGAGTAGAGGTTATGTACTAAGGAGGAAGGATGCCTCAACTGCCAGCCTGAGAAGTCTGAGCTTGTGTCAAGGCCATGGGAAACCATGGAAGTGGCATGACTAATAAGATATTTAAAGAAGATGCTGGCCATAAATAAGCTAAATCAGAGAGAGGGACTAGAGGCAGGGAGAAGAGCAGTGGGACAACTATGAGATAATAACGGCCTAAATTAGGCTGATGCTCAAAGACATGGAAAGGAAGAGATATATATAGTTCAGAAATATTTTAAATCAAGAAATCAACAGAATTTAGGAAGTAATCTCGGATATTTTATTTAAAGCTGGGAATCTATAAGAATGATAGTTTCATGACCAAAAATGGAAAAGTCTAGAAAAGTTAGTTCGATTGATTAGTAGTTTAGTTTTAGGCAAAGGGGCTTTTAGGTAGCTTGCTGAGTACTGAAGCAGAGGCATTATTCAAGCAATCAGGATTGTAAAGAGGGTAAAAATTCTAGAGCTAGGCAAAAAAATCATTATACCTAATTCTCTAACACAAGTAAACTGTATTTTGAAAAATTTTTAAGTATATATATTTTTAAACTGTTTCAGAGGACAGCATCCTAAATGGCAATCTGCTATTGCTGAAGGCTACCAATTTCTCCTACATCCTAGACATCCATGGCAAGGTCACAGGGCCAGCCCCACACCTACCATTAGCATATATTACTTTTATAATCACACACAAAAAAATATTTTATAAAAGTGGCAGAATCAATGTGTTGAGTTACTCATTTTATACATTGTGTCATTTTACCTAGTGGTGCTTTTATATGATACTCGAAGAATATAAAATTATTGTGATAGACAACAGGGTAAGAGTAGGGATTTTCATACTTCACAACAGGCAAGAGAATCTGAACTAACATATACATGGATTTTTGAGTGTATGCATTTCATCAAAACTCATCACTTAAAATTTCTGCATTTCATTCAGTAAATGTTACCTCCAAAAAATAGCAAACATATACTAAACTCTACTTGATACGCATAGCTGACGTGTTTAGAGTTGAAGTGTACTGATGTCTGCAATTTACCTTCAAATGTATAAATAAATAAGACATTAATAGATAGGTAAGTAGATGAATAGATGAATAAATATGTCATAAAACAAATATAGCAAAACGTTAAAAAAGTATAGAATCCAGTGGTAGATATATGTATTCACTACACTCTTT